GAAATTTGGCAGGTGGCCTACTGACAACATAACAACACCGCATGCCAACTTTCAACCCATTCCGAGAACATTTTCTGGCCAGTTATAAAATACTATTTCGGAGGTGCCGCGGGCGCGTGCAAGTGTGTCTTGGCTCAGAACGGACAACGGAAGGAACAGGGAGGCCGGGATGGATGCAAGCTTTGAAAACATGATGATGCAATGCACATGATGACATGACAAGATGCAACTCGCAAGCGAATGACAAGGCAACAACAGCGAATAACTGGAAGACACCTGGCGCAACGGTCTCAGGGCGTTACAACACTCCACCACTACAAGAGGATCTCGTCCCGAGATCTAGGATGGCACCGGAGAGAAACGGAAGGGGAAGAGAAGAGGTAAACTAAGTTGCTTTTTCGACAAACGAGTGAAACCACGAACCTTGAGGGGTTGAAAAGTTGAAAGAAAGAACAGAACGGAGTTGAACGCAATTGAGAGCATTGCGGTAGAAAAGAGAAGGAAAACTTGATAAGATGAAAATAACTTGAAAAAAGGACACGACACTCCGATTAAATGGACAAGCATAAAAAGAACACGATCCTCACAACTCGAGATGATGAGAGAAGAGAGCAACAACACAATTCCTCTGGAGGAAATGAAAGAATGGAATGGAATGAACGGAGGGAAATAAGATCTTGAGAGAGCATGCTTACAACAAATGATAGAACGAGTTGTTGGATTATCAACAACGAAAGGATAAGCTTGATGTGGGCTTATGGAAGACATCTCAAAATTATGAGGTGACAACCCGCCACTCACGGGAAAAAGATTTGATTGAGAGCTAGAAAAGATAGAAAGTTTCTTCCACCGAGGTGATAAGAGATCTTGGATCATAGGTAATCATCACAAGGAGCAACATTCCCAATGGAAGGCTTTAGGTGAAATCTAAACCAAGATAACTCCAAGGAATAAAGTGATGGGTTTTAAATATCTCATTCCTGAACTTGTGAATCATGAAACACAAGAAATTGTCAAGAGTGACATAACACCACCTCAAAAGATGAGATATGAAAGAATTGCACTTCAGAATGCAAGATGAAGAATGCTTGAACTCCTCAAAACAGAATATGTGTTGAGCACCATGTTTATTTCAGAGTATAGCTTGGCGGATCATAACTCCGATAGAAATCTTGAAGAACAAATCGAGAATGAAAGGAATCCTTGACGAACCATCATGTAGCCTCCATGAAGAACTTTGGTAATAAAAGAATGATCAAAAGGAAGTGAAGGATGAAAATAATAAGATTGAAGCCTTACAATGATTAGATGGAGCTTCATGACGAGATAAACCGGAAAGCTTGGAACTCCGGATAAGAAAAGATGAAGCATCTTGAACCGAGAATTAGATGAGCCTCTGGAATAAGGAATTGACTTCACTCGATGAAACAAGAATAAGAATTACATTATGCTTATCCTTCACCAATTTAGATTGATGACAAGCAACGAGTTTGGCATACTACTTATTCTCGTAGAATGGATTAAGATAGATATGGTGCAAACTTGGGAAGGTCTTCAATGATCCACCGGTAGGATTGGGAAGAAGGAATGAATTGATATGATAATCAAGGAAGGGAACTCTTGAGCGAACCACCGTAAGAATTGAAAATGAACGAAGAAAAGATAAAGAAACACCGGAAAAAATTAGAAAATGAACGAAGATACTTGAGAGAGAATTTAGATACAAGTGAACGGAGAGATCCCGAGCTGATTAGATAATACTTGAATGATGCACCGGTATCATTTGGAGAACGAGAGATGAAAGTTGGAATGAATAATTCTGAGATGATGGGCTCCAGAGAATCAAACTGAAAAGACTCCTGAAATACTCGGGATGGGTGAAAAAAATTCTCACAATCGAAAACAATTATGAGAGGATGGCATAACGCTAGAATCATGAATCTTCGAGAGAACGGGCCAAGATTTAGAGGAAACACTTCTTTGGTCTTCAAAATCTCAGAATGACGATGAGATACATCTCACTCCCCATATCTAAAACCGGTGTCGTCGTCGATCCATCCACATAACATATCGGAACCAACAGCCGGTGCAGCAGACCTAAAGCGCATGCCGCATGCACACGTTTTAGAAGCCGCCATCATCATCGGACCATTGACCCATCTTCAGAAAAGAGATCCGCATCATCCTTGCTAGTCCGGACATCTGCCGATGCCACCACGTCACCCAATGGTGCCACCGCCCTACGCTCGTCCGTCCAGATGCGAAGACTCTGGAAGATACGTCGTGCATAGCACCTGCCAACCAATCATGACTCCGCGTAGCACCTATCGACCAGGCGTGACTTGACAGCTCCACCGAAGCTCCGTGCAAGATGAAGCCGCTCCACCTCCTGCATCTATCTTCCAGCGCTGCTCCATAAAGGATGCTCCCAAGAGAGAAACGGAACCGCAGTACCGCCATCGTTCGATCTAGAAGACCAGGTCGTAGGGTTTCCCCTGAAGCAGCATGAGTGGGTCGACAACAGTTACACGACATGTCTTCATCAAGGTAACGACGCAAAACGCCACCATCGCCCGTCATCTGCTCGGTTTTCACTAGCAACTATGTCTCTCCAACTCACAGCCGGGACTAGATGACGGATCTTGAGATCCGACCACCCAGCCTCAAGCCGACCACCTCCGGCAAAGGAGGTGACCACCACCACCACGCCCAGGGCCGAAGCCCCCGGCGTCCTCGTGTTGCAGGTCGAGCCCAGTGGCAGCATGCCGTTGACAGAACAGGGATGGTACAAGACAGCAGCATGTGCGGCCCGTCGAAGCCCATCTTGGGTCAGATCAGGCGCTCAAGCCGCCGCCGCTGGACCCGTCGCCGTACATCGCAATCTGCATGCCGAGACTGGCTGCCGCCGCCCCGTCATTGTCGTAGGTCCGGCCGGCGTGGACCGCCGCCCCCTGACCGAATCTGGACAAGGAGAAGCGCCGCTGCCACCGCTGCGGCACACATGCATTGCCTGCGAGTCCCCTGGTGACGGCGGCGGCGGTAGGGGAGATGGCGTTGGAGAGGACCGGAGGAAGGGAGCGGGGGCGCTTCGGTGCGGCGCGGCGCCGCACGAGGGCGGGAAGGGGATGCAGAGGAAAATGTAGGAGAGAGCATCCTGCAATATGAAATTCGTTGGCCTTTCTGCTTTCGGTGGATGCATGATGGGACTAAGCTAGAGTTCAACTAAACCCTCAAACCAAAGGCCGCAGATCCGATATCAAAATAACTAGTATCTCAATAATCAACATATATAAAGCTCCCCTAAAAAACATATATAAAGCTAAAATAAACTTAATGATGGCACGAACACTACACAGCCCATACCAATGGCTTTACCGATCGAGCATGATCACACCTAGCTTTCTGACGAGGTTCTGCATAAGTGCCACGTACATCAAATCAACACTCGAAGCAACGCGAAACAAATGCAGAAGAACTACGATGTCCCTGGATCGAGTCCGGATTAGCGGAAAGTAGGCAGCTTTACACATCAGATTAGTCTCCCTCCACATCACATGCAGGCCCCTGGGCACCACGTTCTTGGACCTTGAATCTGGCAGGACAAGGGTTTTTAATTTTATTAGTTTGCGTGAGATTCTAAAGGTTCCCAGCACAAGGGTATGGCCCCAGGTACAAGTGAAAAGCACACAACTAAAAGAAGATCTTGAGCCTGAACCAACAAACTTCTTGTATCATGTAGTATGACCCTTTTCCTGATTTCTGTTTACCAGAAGGGCCGAAAGGCCCTGAAGAATTGTTTTTTGTTTTATTTTGCTTTGATTGATAATGTGGAAACACATATATTATTTTTAAGCAGCAATAGATTTAGTAAAGTAATGCATGATAGAACTTCGACATATTTAACTAAGGAAACTCAAAATGCTTGCGCACGTGATTATTGCCATTACAAAGTAGCCAGCATGGCAAAAATTGCCAAATCCTCATACTTAATCATGGATAAACAATGTGTTAGAGAAAAGTGAAAGATAATTACTACTCTCTCCGATCCATATTACTTGTTGCTCAAATGAATCTCATCCATTTGAGCGACAAGTCATATGGATCAGAGAGAGTACTACCTCTTTGTAGGATTTGTGAATATCCTTGTTGCTCACTTCTAGGGAGTATAGTTCGATTCTGAACCCGATTACCTGGTAGTGACCCAGTGGCGCAAAACATCTTCTCTTCTTTCATTTGTTCACTGTTCACGTGGGATTTTAATACACATATTATCAGCATTCACAAGCATTTCCCTAGTTGCATCGCATATAAAGGCGTTTTTTCTAGTTTGGTCAAGATCCCTGTACAACATCCATCCGAAAGAACAGAAAAACGTGAGGCAAATGCAAAGTTTAAAGGAGGCATGTACCATGCCAAACCAACCCATGTTGATAAAGTCTGTTCACCAGTAACCTGTTCCAAACCAACCAACGTGCTTGCCTTACCTTCCTCTTCACTCCCCAGTTCCCACTAGCTAGCACATTTCCTTCGCTGAAAGGTGAAAGAACAACCGGCATTCAGGAAGGCGCCACAAACTACATGGATCATGATAAGTACTCCAGTAAACCCTGCATGTTCTCCTATCAATAACTTGTAAAGCTAACTGTAAGCATGCCATCAACCAACTCATCAGCTTCTCTAATCATGGACAAACTGTATGCAACGGAAAGTGCATTACCAAAGGAACACACCAGTGCCTCCCTCCTCGTTGTTCGCCGGGCTGAACGCCGTTCCTTTACCCAAGAAAAGTGTGCCTTGCTTTTCCATCATGATGAGGCGACGGTGAGTATGCAGCATAAAGTGCTGATTCGGTTCAATCACTTTGTTCCTTGGAACAAAGCAACTTCTAACACAAGCTCCTCCTTATAAAACCCACGGATGCCTTGGGGCATGAGCCAACTCCTCACAGGGAAACAGAGCCTAACTAGCTTAGCTAGCATAAGCAGTTTCAGGAAGCACCAATGGAGGGTTTCAGCCAGAAGCATGCCATTGGAATTCCTCTGCCTTCCTTTGCATATGCTGACGAGAAAACACAAGGAAAACCATCATGTTCTTCTTTGGTTCGCAACAAGGGTAATGATCTCACGATCTTCTTGCCCAATTCTCTTTTCCCAGCCACTGTAATTTGTATGTCAATGCTGATTTTCTCTCCTTTTCTTGGTGCCGCAGACAAAAAGAATTCCATCGTTTATCGGATGAGCAAGCTAAGCCAGAAAACAGATACTTACATGCAGGGCTTCAAGGAACACTGTAAGCATGCCATCTAACATCTGTGTATCCCAACAAGTTGATATGAAGTAGTATAAACTAACCAGGCAAAAGTTCTCATCACTAATAAATATTTTTGCATTGCAGTAGCACTTGGACCGAAATTTTCGGAAACTGTGAAAGGGAAACTGAGCTTAGGTGTGAAGGTTCTCCAAGCTGGTAGCATGGACAAGGTCTTCAGGCAATACTTCCGAGTCGAGAAAGAAGAGAAGCTACTGAAGGCTTTCCAGTGTTATCTCTCAACCACAGCCGGCCCAATAGCTGGAATGCTTTTCATCTCGACTGAGAAGATTGCCTTCCATAGTGACAGGCCTTTGGATTTAAAATCGCCCAAGGGCCGCATCGCAAGGGTGCCCTACAAGGTAACTAAAGCACAATGCCCCGGTCAATAGCTAAAGTTTACTGGATTAAATCCCGGTTAAGAAATATTTGGGCGCCCATTTTGAACTCAAAGCTGATGAATTTTTTTGTACCTTTCCACAGGTCATGATTCCTGCAAAGAGGATCAAGAGTGCTGCCGTGAGGGAAAATTTGTATAATCCCGATGAGAAGTACATCGATGTAGTTACTGTTGACGGCTTCGATTTTTGGTTTATGGGTTTCATCAGTTACACAAAATCACTGAAATATCTTCAGCGTGTAATTTCGGAGATGAGATGACACACCCAGTTCTGTAATCCCAAGCACACTGGGTACCATGTGTCCATGTTGAAATGGTATATGTACATTGGAAAAAATAGGATTGAACAATCATGTTGGATGGAAAGCATTTTTTACTTTACCCTCAAAAGGTGAAAAGCAATTTTTTTTCAAGATGTTTTCCACGGTTATGAGCTTAGGATATGCTGAAAGGCCAACTCATCATGTTAATACCTCTTCATTACCGAGTAGTTATCGCCATATAGAGGCTCAATTGTGGAAAGATTTTTTTTTATCTAAACCAAATGTAACAGGAGAGTGATAATGTTGAAGGCCGTCTAGTGTTTTTCCATAAAGGAGAATGCATGTTCAATAGATAAATACCAGCACAAATTTTCTACATTATAACCGACATTGTTGCAAAATGGCTGCAGAGAAAATATCCATGAGAAATGAGCTACATTGCACAGATGGAGATAGTCTAATATTACTTTGTACAACAGACGGAGATAGGCTAATATAATTTTGTATAACAGATGGAGATAGGCTAATACTAATTTCAGTTCTGTAGAGACCACCGTTCCCCACCAGACACCACGTCAATCACCTGTGTCTCCAGTCATCAACGGCAATTGGAGACGCGCGAAAGAATATCAAGCAACACTTCAATGCACTCCGCGCATGCTTGGCATTTGCTGACCATAGCATTCGTCAGGCTAGAATTTTTTGCCAATGGGTTCATTCATGATTTGAGCATGAACTAGTTAGAGCAACTCCAATGAGACGATTCATTTTGTCCGTTTGGGTCATCCTGACACAAAACACAGTTCAACGAGGCGACCCAAACGGACACAGCCTCATGATTCGCAAAATAGTTGGATCCCACATGAGCCCATAGTAGCTGCTCACGTCCGGATCTGGCGTAGCCGGCAAATTTGACAAATTTAACCTGTGGACGAAATCAAATCACAGAATGAACTACTCGTGGAACTATTTCACGCGGCTGACCTTTTTGTGTGACGCCTGACACGAAGGCATCACACTACATTGTGCAACGCCTCACAGATAGGCGCTACACGCCTGGCCAACGTTGCACCTCAAACTGCCTAAAAATTGCTAAGTCATTGTGCAGAGCCTACGAGCTAGGCGCTGCATTGTATAGTGTTGCGCCTAGCTCTCGGGCGCTGCACTAGTGGTTGCACTATAAAATGAAGCAACCACTAGTGCAACGCCTAGAAGCTAGGCGCTACACTGTATAGTGTGGCACCTAGCTCTCAGGCGCTACACACTGACTTAGTAATTTTCGGATCACATGGGTGCGACGCTGGCCAGGCGTGTAGCGCCTATCTGCGAGGCGTTGCACAGTGTAGTGTGCCGCCTTCGTGTCGGGCGTCACACAAAAATGTCAGCCGCATAAAATAGTTTCACGAGCAGTTCATTCTGTGATTTGATTTCGTCCATAGGTCAAATTTGTCAATTTTGCCGGCGTAGCCAGAGGAGGCGCGGCGATGCCGCTGTTGCTCCGGTCCCGGTGGAGGTCGGCTGGATCTGGACGCACAACCATGGATCCAGGGCATGGTGGGCCAGAATCGAACCCTGCCTCCCACGGTGGTTCCATCACCAAGATACGGCTGCTCGTTCCATGAAACCGCGATGTGTGCTGCGGGCTATCCTGTCATCCAGGTGGGCTCCCTGGATGGGATGTGGCGGCCGTTGCCGATGTGGCTGCTACACCGAGATCCGATGCCCTGCTGCCTGCTGGGCTCCGTCGGTGGCTGGGTAATCTCATTCCGGCAACAGCCTCACTGCGGATTACGATGATCACCGAAAGGTCTTTGTGAGGGTTTCATACTCTAGATTCGGTGGTTGACTTTGACGGTGAGATGTAAACTATGGACGATGACTTGATGCAGAGGAATGGTGAAGCAGCGGCAACGGTCACACATTGCATGTAGCTGTTGGGATCGTAGAAAAATGATGGCGACAACACATGCCTGACTGATTTGATGGTGGTGCTTCTTGAGCACCCGGTCTCGAGCTCCAAGATGAAAGCCTGGGTGACCCGAGTTGGTTATGCCTGGAAATGGTGATATTTTTACGTCGTGACCTCGTTGAAAGCATTGTCGGATATGCTTAGACTATTTCTTCAAGGTTTTTTTTATTTTTTTAGAAAAGGAGGACGACCCCGGACTCTGCATCTGAACGATGCATACGGCCACTTTATTAATTATTGACACAAGACCGTACAGAGTCATACAACAATAAGACTAAAGCTACCAAACTAAGCGCTATCCCTATCCAGTTGATGTAGGGGCGCTGAAAGTCTGGGCCTAATACCAAACAGACCACGCAACCAAACCTAAACATCTAAAGACTTGAGGTCCCACCCAGGACGCCTGCCGGGTATGGGCACCCACCAGTCCGGCGTGCTTCTCAACCAGGACCCCTGCCGGGTATGAGGCCGCCGCAACCACCTGCCACGAATTCATCTTCAGAGCTGTACTGCTGCATCAACCTTGGCCGGTCCAACTGCCGCCGACGCCACCATGACGCCAGGCAGCGTCACCCTCCTGCGCGAGTCCATCTCCGCTCATCAGGCGCCGAGTCTCCACTGCGCCGCGCCGCCGAGATCCGCCGTCATCAATGAAGCAGATGAAACACCGCTCCTCCTCTTGTCCCCTCCAACCAGCACTCGCTTCAAAACGATGCCCCCATGAGGGAGAACGATACCGATAGCACCGTCATCGTCCGATCCGGTAGACCCAGATCTAGGGTTTCCCCCGGAACTTCCCGATCAGGTTGATGAGGCCTGCAACGACGATGCCTCCAGAAGGAAACGACGTCCGAGACGCCGCCATCGTCCGCCAAGACCACAGTCAGGCGCGATTTTCATCGGAAGCCACGTCTTCCCGACCTCGTGGCTGGCTGGAACCGAACGGAACCTCGCCACGAAGACGTATGTTGCCGTCGGTACTCTGGCGGAGATCCGGCATCTCCTCACCGGTCCCTCCATGCGCCGCCGGTCGGCGAAAGGCCTCCCCGTGACGGATCCAAACGGGGCATTGGATCCGCAGTAGCCGTCGTCACCATCACGAGCAGGACAGCCCACCTCGCCGGATGGGGCACTGCCACCGCCGCCGTCCATGCAGGGCCGCCGCTCCGCCGGCGATGGTGCTCGGGCCCCCGCTGCACAGCCCGGATACTCCGTCCTAGCCGCCGCCGTTGGATCTCATGAGAAGGGCCGCCCCCACCGCCTCAGATGGGATCCGCCGCCTCCCCCCGCCCAGGACCTTTGGCACCGGGCCCGCCGCCACTGCGGCCCACGCCGGCGGCAGCGGCGGCAGGAGGGGGTGGAGGGAGAGGTGATGGCGGCGCTAGGGTTGGGGCCCCTGGCGTCGCCCGGGGGGAGGCGACGCGAGGCTATTTCTTCAAGGTGAAAACCTAGATTCTGACCTCGAGTGGTTGAATCCAGTGACGGCGACGATTAAGCGCCGCTCGCTTTCTGAAGGCGTTGTCGTTGAAGAATCTCGTTGTTCGTGTGGTGTCATGAGATTGTTGGTGCAGATATGGTCATCGATGTAGTTTGCCGATTATGGATCTGATCGCCCTATTTTTTACTTTACCCTCAAAAGGTGAAAAGCAATTTTTTTTTCAAGATGTTTTCCACGGTTATGAGCTTAGGATATGTTGAAAGGCCAACTCATCATGTTAATACCTCTTCATTACCGAGTAGTTATCGCCATATAGAGGCTCAATTGTGGAAAGATTTTTTTTATCTAAACCAAATGTAACCGGAGAGTGATAATGTTGAAGGCCGTCTGCTGTTTTTCCATAAAGGAGAATGCATGTTCAACAGATAAATACCAGCACAAATTTTCTACATTATAACCGACATTGTTGCAAAATGGCTGCAGAGAAAATATCCATGAGAAATGAGCTACATTACACAGATGGAGATAGTCTAATATTACTTTGTACAACAGACGGAGATAGGCTAATATAATTTTGTATAACAGATGGAGATAGGCTAATACTAATTCCAGTTCTGTAGAGAACACCGTTCCCCACCAGACACTACGTCAATCACCTGTCTCTCCGGTCATCAACGGCAATTGAAGACTCGCGAAAGAATATAAGCACCACTTCAATGCACTCCGCGCATGCTGGCTTTTGCTGACCATAGCATTCGTCAGGTTAGAATTTTTTGTCAATGGGTTCATTTATGATTTGAGCATGAACTAGTTAGAGCAACTCCAATGAGACGGTTCATTTTGTTCGTTTGGGTCATCCGGACACAAAACACAGCCCAACGAGGCGACTCAAACGGACACAGCGTCCGTTTGGTGTCTGCTCGGATCCATTTTAAACTCAAATCTAAGAAAATTTGGGTCAAAAGCGAACCCTCTTTATGCCCTCTTCGCCCTCCTCTGTCCGGCCGCATGCGCCGGCTGGCCCACTTGCCATCCACCCATCTGTCTCATCCGGTCTCTCTCCTCCTTTTCTCTCCTGGGCCACCACGACCACCCACCCACCCAGCGGGAACACGAGGCAGCCACAGGCCGCCGAGGAAGTGCCAGCACATGGCGCGGCTCCGGCGGCCTCCAGCGGCGCGGCTATGCTCCCGCCGGCGCCCAGCCTCCAGCGACATGACTGTGCTCCCGTCGGCGCCCAGCCTCCAACGGCGCGGCTGTGCTCCCGCCGCCGCCGACCTCCAGCAGCGGGGTGGCGCGTCCTCCAACGGCCCTGTCGGAGTTCGGGCGGGTCGTGGAGGCCAGCGACGCAGTGGCGCGGATCCAGCAGCAACGTCGTGGTTGTCCCGGCGAGGAGGTCGTTCACCAGGTGAGCCAGGAGTTTTCTTCTTGCTCGCGTCCGACGCGCCGCTGGCCGTATGTGGTTTTGTTTCTGATTGATCTCCGACGGATGCGCGTGCGTGGGACAGGCACTGCTGGAGCACGGCCCTGAACATAAAAGGCAAGCAAGGTGAGACGTACATGCGCGTACAGGAGCTCCTTGACATGAAG